GGCTATATACATTATGTACATGTCACAGAAAAGAGGTTCAAACATCCTACGTCATAATTGTCCAATATGGCACATTTTATAACAACTTTAGACTTTAGTCTAGTTTGGCATAAATTAATGTCAAGTTTGGTACAAAAATAGTTCATATTTACAAGAATAATCCAGATCTTCATCAAGTAGATTGCTTGTTCAATTAATAAATAAAAAGTCATGGAAGAAGGGAAAGGGGAAGATGGGAGATAAGATGTCTTTACACTGATCGAATGCTGATGTGGACGGTGGCTGAGTCCGACCCCAGCTCGTTGGACAGCCGGAGGGTGTAGGCTCCAGCGTCTTCCTCCTTCACCCCGGTGATGATGAGGGTGGTCAGATCCTCACAGGTCTCGATGTGGAAGCGCCCGCCCGAGGTCACCTCGATGGTTTGGCCCCCACGGGACCACTCGATGTTTTTGGCGTCCCCGGAGAAGGCGCAGGCGACCGTCAGGACCTTTCCCGGCTCGATGCTGATGTCCTCTGGCAGAGCCTCGATTCTCGGAGCAGAACCTGGAACCCACAGAACCGACATTTGACTCAGGCCTTAGAAAATTCAGTTTTCTATGAGCTCAAAGATTTCAGCATTGCTAGTGTTGTCACAATCCGGTCCTGGGTTTCCACCATACTCCCAGCTCTGCCAGTACTTTTCCGGATTGTCTGCCTCATCAGTGCAACCACCTTCACCTGTGTTCCCTCACCTGATTTAAACCCACTCTTTCCTCTCAGTCTCTGCCAGATTGTCTTTAGTGTCATGCAAAGCTTTCCAGCGTTTTCTTCCGGACTGCCTCACTGGTTTGGACCCTGCCTGCCCCTGACTCGTCCTCATCGTTCCAGCCCCGGTAACCTGAACAGCCTTCTGCCTCTGACACCTCCGCCTGACTGCCCTTTTCTGCCTCCAGTTTGTTGGGAAAATAAACTGTTGAACTGTTCATCGCTGGTCTCAGTCTGTGCTGTACTTGGGTCCAGCTTCACACCCATTACAAGTGTTGTGTTGTGTGCTGTGGTTCGTACCGATGGCTCTCATGGAGGAGCCCTCCACGTGGGCCGCCATCTCTGTGAGGCTGCTGGAGCTCATGGCGTACGTCTCAGACGTCATGGAGGACATGCTGGACATGGACATGGTCTCAAACTTCATCTCAGCTGCCATGCTGCTGAAGGAGCTGGACTCCATCATGGACGACATCATGCTCTGCTGGGCAGAGGAAGAGAAGGAGGAGGACTCCTCCATCATGTGCACTTCTTTCTTCGTCATCATAGCCGAGCTCATTGAAGACGCCGACTCCTTCTGACTCATCATCATTGATCCTGAAAGAACAAGGGATGAAAACAGGTTAGGTTAGAAATATGGAACTCATTTGATTTAAGCTCATAAATGGAGCCCACTGAGGGTAATCCCACCTTTCAGTGCCACTTGCTGCTCACGGTAGGCTGTAACCTTCTTGTGAATGGACTGGAACACCTGGCCGGTGAAAGAGAAGGAGGATTTGGACACCCCTCCGTCCGAGGTCATCTCACAGGTGTACTCTCCCTGGTCGCTCTCCGCCAGGTCCTGGATGAGGAGGCTGCAGGAGCCCTCGGAGTAGTGCGTCTGGAAGCGGCTGCTCTGGGAAAGCCTCCTCCCGTTGACCGACCACACCACCTCCCGCACGCTGCTCTCGCAGACACAGGTCATCCTGACCGAGCCCTCGAAGGCCTCGGCCGTGACCTGGCTCAGGACTTTGGGCGGTTTCGGGATTGGCGATTTCACGGTGGGAGGGGACACTACCCTCTTGGGGGACATGATGGGGGGAGGAGACTTCATCCTGGGAGGTGATTTGAGTCCCTCAGGCTCGGGGGACTTCAGGGCTCTTGGTGATTTAATGCCTGAAGGTTCCGGGGACTTGAAGCCTCGTGGTGATTTGATTCCTGCGGGTTCTGGGGACTTCAGACCTCTTGGTGTTTTGATTCCCGGAGGCTCTGGAGATTTTATACCGCGAGGGGTTTTTGCCTCCTCAGGCTCAGGCGACTTCACACCCAATGGAGACTTCAGCGGTGTTGGTGACTTGAGTCTGGGTTCAGGAGATTTTATACCACGAGGGGACTTTAGTCCCTCTGGCTCTGGAGATTTCACCCCTGGAGTTGGTGACTTTAGGCTGCGTGCTGGAGAGGGAGCGGATGGCTCTGGAGATTTAACGCCCACTGGTTCTGGAGACTTCACACCAGGTGCTGGAGACTTCAGACCAGGTGCTGGAGACTTCAGACCAGGTGCTGGAGACTTAAGACCAGGTGCTGGAGACTTCAGACCAGGTTCTGGAGACTTCAGACCAGGTGCTGGAGACTTCAGACCAGGTTCTGGAGACTTCAGACCAGGAGATGGTGACGTTACACTGGGTTCAGGAGACTTCAGACCAGGTGCTGGAGACTTCAGACCAGGAGA